TATTATGATACTGCAATGATGATGAGCATAAAAAAAAAAAAAAGAACAAAAAACCCACTGAAATGTTTTGATTACTAATAGTTTTGGTTTGAGTCATCATCTCCTATCAGCCTGTATCACTCAGTAGCTCACTTCGTTCTTAATCTGTCCTGAAACTTGATTAGAAAAAGTCTTCTGAAGTCCAGGTCTGATCAAGACAATTCAGATACATGGACAAACTGTACACTTTATGTTCAGGTCTTCCAGACATAATACCAAGGAAACCCATAAAGCATGAATTTCTTGTAGTGTCTGTTTATGTCAAATAGCCTCTCTCTATATCACATCCAACTAAGGATCACAATGCCACACAAATACAGCAGCTGACTAGCTGGCAATTACTGGCTCTTTCATGCTGAAAATATATTTGTCCCAGAATAAGGCATCTGCATAATTAGCAAAAGCAGTTACACAAAAAATAATTAGCTTGCTGAAAGCCCAAAGGAGGAAAAACTATAATTTTTGCTTCAAGAAGCTGACTAATTATATGCCAAATAACAAAATAGAGATGCACTGAGAAACATCGGGAAATCCAACATGGATTTTAACTTCAATTCTAGCTATAAGGGCTGGTGGTAGCCTAGCAACAAGCAGCATAGTTCAGGCATGCCAAAACCTCCCTCTGACTTAATGAAACACCTCAGACTACTCTGCAAACCTCCCCCACCCCATTACATATTTGATTACTGTATTACTGATAAAAACAAAGCCTAGCCAAAAAAATAAGCAATTCAAAATAAACTCAAAGCAGCACTAAAAGACCATGGTATAGAAAGTAAGTTAATATAAACCATATTAATTATTTTCATAGATTTAAAAATCACATTGTGATTAGAATTGATCCATTAGATTTATGGGATCAGAACATGTCCTATTATTTGAAACACCTTTTTTAGTAGATTAAGATTTCTGTTTGTTTGTGACATGCAAACCATTAGTTAAGAAATGCTGAACAACTTACAACATACTCGCTGCTCTCTAAATTACTCCTGATATCTAAATAATGCTGCTGCAATTGCTTACTTTTACTTGAATCCTCAGTGAGCTTGTAAACTGTTATCCCAAACAGTAGCCTCAGTGCTGAGACCAGTTTTAGCCATCATTCTTCTTCAAACAGTTCTTTTGCCATATTTCACCATTTAAGAAGCCACAGCCACTTTCCCATCTGCCCAGTTCAGCTATGTTCTACAGTAAGTCAGGTTTGACAACCACTGTCAAGTCTTGTAAATAGCATAATTCCAGTGTTCCTGGGCTAGCACTCAGTTACAAATGACATGTCAACCAATAGGTTGCTCTTTGGTTGAGCTACCTGAGCTACCCACCTGAGCTACCCACCAGAGAAGTAGAGATTCACCATATTCACCCATAAGATCACATTTAAAAAAAGTTAAGACTTGATCTTTGCTAGAGAGCTGGAAAGTCATGATACAACTTCAATTAACCTTTATTTCAGAGGCATGCATTAGCCCCGAGCAACAGGAAGCTCTTCTCCAAGGGGTGAAGCACGTTACTTTTCAGCCAGGTCTGTTCTGCAGCTGGTACAGGGAACAGCTCAAGGCAGAAAAGCCAATGCAAGGGAGCTAACTCTGCTCCTTCCACAGCACCACTTTACACTGACAAGGGCTTACAGACTGCAGTCTGCATAAATTTTTGCCAGTCTGCCTCCCAAAACCTCTGCGACCCCCATGCAGCCTGCACAGAGCTAGACGTAGTACATAGCAGCTACAGAGTGGGACAAACTCGAGCTTTTAAGGCAAATCACAACTGCACCATATGGCCTGAAGTCACCTGATCCAGGCCATGTAACATGAAGGTTATACATTAGGTTACACGTAAGGTTAAAGCCTTAGTTCTGTGTTTGCCTGGTGGTGTTACAATCTAAAATGGGCAGTAGTAACAATAAGAGACAGGCACCCTCATAATCAATGCTGGACTCTGCCGGACTCAAAGGATTAACAAGACTGAGACAGCTATTTTCTGAGAAACGGAGATCATCTGGAAGTGCAATATTTATCATCATCTTCCCTGGTGACTCTGACAACAGCTGAAAACGCCACCTTTGTTCAAAAGCTCCAAGAGGTGGCAGGGACACAAAAAAACCTGACAAATTTAGCTTGCCTTTAGGCCATAATAAACTTGTGACCATGGGTGAAGATAAGCGTCCTCCACTGGCTTACACAACCTCAAAAAGATAAGCTGAAAGTTGCACAGAGCTGTCAACACATTAGATATGGTGAGTATGTATACTGTATTTGTCCTGTGCCTGGTGGATGAGGAAGAAGCAACAAACCAGCCTATAGGACTATGAGAAACTGAATCCTCCCCTCACACACACAAAAAGAGATATTAATAAATAATGTTCTCATCATTAGCTTCACAAATAAGAACCACTTTATAAAAAAAATAACTCATGCGACTACAGACTTTGTTGTTGGCTTTTATTTTTATCGTTAGGGAAGGTGAAATGGTTCTGGCAGAACAATGGGATATCCCATCCTTTCCGTGCCTGGCTCTCTTTGACCCCTTAACACTCCACCACTTCCCCCAACTCCCTTTTCCCCAGGCTACTTTTGGTCTCAGTGTCCACACAGGAGATTCAACAGAGGAGAAATGCTAACACACACACACTATAGGGATTGCATCCAGCCACAGTGCAAGCAAGGACAGTGAAACATCAGCAGATCACATTAAGCAGAGTGGGGAACACAGGAGTAATTGTGTCTGGAAGCAAAAAAAAAGCCTGTCAATGAAGTCAAGGACATGAGATATAATGTGTAAGGTCTCAGTCACTATATGTGCAAGAAAGTTAAGTCTTCAAATTCATCAAAACAGTGACAGGGGAAGGGGTATTACAAGAAAAAAATAGCAGATCTAATATGCATAGATGCTTTCCTTGCATGTATTAAAAAAATATAAAAAGAGTTCCTATGGAATCCTTCCTTGGTAATTTTATAACAGATGGCTTGCTTTCTTGGAAAGAGATGGCAGTAAGGCTTAGACTGCCCAGAAGAGGTCATCCCCATTGTCCCATCTTGCTTCTTTTGATGTTTTCCATGGTGCCAGCAGCCTTGAATCACATCACACCATACATTAGAATGTTCAGACTGGAGACCAGAGCCACTTCTCAAAAGCTAAATATTCATAAGTGATGTCTCTGGTACCGTTCTGGGATGTGTGAGTGCTAAAGTGATTGCATAGCTAAAACTTACATTGCAAATATATTAACTCTTCCTCTTCACATGTATTCTTACATGTACCTCCCCTATTTCATGCCAAATGCTCTTCTAACCCATTGTGACATACCCAATTTTCTACTAAAAGATCGCCTTCATTTGGGTTAGAAAAAAACCCCCCGTGAACTTAGCTTGAATTTGGCTAGAGGTACATTAAGCCCCATAACACAAAGAAAAAATAATAAAAAAAAAAAATGTATTTCTCCTTATGCCAAGAGAATAATCCAAACAGAAATCCCAACCACAGTCATCATCCCACCAAAAGGATGATGGTTAAAAAGACCATGTAGCAATGCATCTCACCAGAGAGCACAAGTCTGCCTCCCTGAACTCCAGACCATAGCAATCTACATAGTACGGTGATGCGTCAAATTAACTTTGTTTTTGAAAGCCCATTCAGCTCCACTACTAGTAAAACAAAAGTTTTACCTTTGCCTAGCCAAGCAGAAAGCAGAGAAGTTGGATCAGCAGTAAGCTTGTTTCAGTTTAAGTTAGGATTTCAGAACACCTGGAGGTTCTAAGTCTCAAGATGTTTGCTAAGGGATTAAATATTTATTCACCCCTCTCCCCCTTAAAAAAGTATAAGGATATTTGTTTTTCAGCTGCACTTTTTTGCCACTGTAAGCCTCATCTACCTATACAGCCAATATTTTCTCACATTATTCAAAAGCATAATTTTAACCCATTCCATCACAGAAGAACCTGCACTAGGTCTTCATCTTCCCAAACATATAAGAGAATATTACACCACATTTCTGAATAATCCAAGATACGCCTTCAGACTTTTCAAATAAGTCAATTTTATTAGTTCTTGCAGGAAAGAAAATTTACTGTATTTTTAAAATTGAAGGCAAGAAGAATGGTGCCTAGAAGTGAAAAAGATATTTTTTCCAATTTAAAAGAGCAGAGATCTCTCTATTCTCTTGGTTTCTGAGAGCATGGTGGGAAAGACTGGGGACATCACCTCTCCTGCTCTGGCCTTGTGGAGGGTGTGCGCTTGATAGGAACCCACAGCACTGAACCCATGTTCTTCACCTCTGCTCTACTCAGCTGTTGGCAAAAAAATGAATTCCCTCACCAAGAGTTCTCTCAAAACTCTATTCCTAAAAAATGAGTGATACTTATTAAAAATACTTTCTAGCTCATAAGCTTATCTCTAAGAAAAGCAATAATAAATACTTGTTTTTCAAATCAGCAAACTATTAGTCTCAGACAAGGAGGACAGAATTAAGGCTCTGATAAGGGTCTCTGACTATCAGTCATAAACATACAAATCAAACTTCGGAATTGCAAAATACGATCCCTAAACAATATGAGCTTTAAATGGAACACCACTACATTAATATGTACACTTTCTGTGCTATTTAGAGCATTAAACTAAATAGGCTTCTTCTCCTCTTAAATTACTATTTAATTTACCTTATGAACAACTTGAAGTCCATGTACATCTTTAACAGATGTATTTCCATAACACCTGCTGTTCTTGAAACCTAAGCTTTATTCTCCTTCCAATACTACTAGGAACATTCTCCTTCCGATACTGTTATGAAGACTGAGCAGATTAACTGAACATCAATTTTATGTGCTGCAAAACCTAGGTATGTATTTCTGAACAATCACCCATACTTTTCTCCCTTAACAGAATGATTGCTCTGTGTCCATTTGAATGCCTCACCAACTGAAAACTGATAAAAACACCGAGAAGAAAAAGCAGATACTTCTACTCACCACTTGAACTCTGGATCATGTTTCCAGATTTCTGGACCTCATCAAATTTTGTAAAAATTACATTCAACCTGTTTGAAAGTTAAAGGAATACACAATGAGATTAATTTAATTTTTAGGAATCTCTTAAATTAAGATGTTAAAGGACAAATGTTGCTTCACTGAGGTCATAGGGAGCACTGTCCAAAATGTCAGTGTGGAGGGAAGTTATCTGAAAATTAAAAAAGTATCACAGCACATAACAGCAGATAAGAAAAACTGAGAAAAAACTGATACTACATAGGTGTAAGATATAACTGGAAATAATATAATACTGAAGGCATAACATGTCTAATTCTAGATGCATTTCCAGTTCATTACCACTTTGTCTATCTTCTATTCACAGAAACACCACAAAACCCACCCCTAAAAAACCAACTTCCCACAACATTTGTCTTTGGGCCTGATGCTTCTTTCTCATTTGTGTCACAGGCCTGGTGGAGCAGAAGATCCTTATCACATCTCATTAATCCTTCCCAGAGAATTTATTACTTTAAGCCACATTGTAGCAGTAGGTACTTTCACTGGAGAACAAAGGCAACAGTACTGCCTCCCCTTGCGTGCACCCCACCTCTGAAATAACCGCTTTCCTTCTCTCTCTGTGCATTGACACTGCCATCATCTCAATTCTGAGGTCTAACCATACTCTACCCTGTGCACTGAAGGTTTTGGCAAAACATGGAGCAGCTTCTTACTGCGCCTGAACTGGCAGACGCAGAGGGCTTGGGTTTTGGGGTGGGTTTTTTTAATTGGGGTTGGGGGGTGGAATTAGGGATTTTTTGTTTGTTTGGTGTGGTCTGTTGGGGGTTTTGGGGAGATGAGTTTTTTGGTTTTTGGTTTGTTTTGATTTTTAATAAAGCCTTGGAACTGATATTGACTATATTGGGTTTTCTTCTTCTAAGTTACATAAACACAGGCTACTCTGAGGTGTCGCAGAGCATACAGAAAATCTTAAATCAGTTAACTACACATCTGTTATGTTACTGGTTTTCCAAAGATGCTGTAGCATCTTTGGCCAAAGGTACAGGATCCACATTAAGGGAAACCTGAGTGTTTGTATGATATAAAAAACACACACAAAACAACCCTGATCTCAGGAAAAGGTTCAGTTATGCAGCTCCTGAAGCCTTTTAAAGGAAGGAAGGGAATAAAAAGTAGTCCAAAAATAGTGAAGACACAAAGACAGTATCAACTTACCGAGACTGGGGTAATCCTTTTTTACTGAGATCAGCCCTTACACGTTCACCAACATGTCTGTAAATTTCCACAAGGCTGTTTATTGCTGCATCTCGAACCTGAATATGAGACATGAGAGAAGAAATCAATCATCTTTGTAATTTTGATAAATCCCTGTCCTACCTTGGAGGAAGAAATTTGCATATTTCTTAGCAACAACAGTTGCCATTATAGCCATTACCACAGTGTTCAGGAGGGAGCTTCCATCCCTGCATTTCAGATATTAGCAGTATCAAGAGGTCTAATTTAACTGAAATGGTAGTCAAGACATAAGATGAAAAGTTTCATACACAGGGATACACACAGGGAGCTCAGCTGGCTTTGCCAAACTCCACCCGTTGTATGCAACAGATATATTTACTAGATAAAAAAAGCAAGGACACACACACAAATAGACGTTATATTGCTAGTATGTTATAAAAGAAACCAATTTTTAATGCCATCTTAGAAACGCATGTTTGTGTGTTGATAACAAAATATGGAGAGAGGAGTAATCAATCACCACGAATTCTGCATATTTCCTAAACCGATTCGCAAGAAATTGCTGAGCACATCATCCAGCAGAAGAGCCACAAATCTGACTGAAGTATCACCTTTCAGACCAAACCCCCCTTCTCCATCAGACACAGCAGGCAGAGAAGGTAAACTATCTGTTTTGCCTACAGAAATACCTGAAGAGCCACACACTTCTGCTTCTTAGAAGATGGCCTGGCATCATCAAAGCACAAGCACACATCAGGACTAGACACAGGATATTTTGTGGGCAAAAGCTAGAATTGCCTGCAGGTGAGAGTCAAAGGGCGGATATACGTGCCCTGCTTCCTAGACAAAAAAATCAAAACCCTTGACTTACGCTCATCTCACCCCACTGTACTCCACGGTTTTCCCATTCAGCAGGTCACTGCCAGTTCCCAAACCCCTGCCTTCACTCACACCAGCCCTTAGCTCAGTAGTCTTGCCTCTCTTCTCTCTGCCCATCAGCCCCATATGCAACCAGGCAGGACTTCTGGGCACAGCTCAGGAGAGACTCTCTGATGTCCCCAGTTTCTGGGTATACAGACCCTAACCCAGCCTTGTTCTGTCTCCAACAGCCAGGGGGGAGAGGTGGTGGTGTGTGAGTGGCATCTCACACACCTGCAGTGAGTCCCCCTGCCCTGGGGCCCAGGCCCACACACCGGCAGCAGGTGCACAGCTGCATGATCTGGAAGGACTGTGTATAAAGTTAATCAGAGGTACAGTTGCAGGACTGGGTAAACCCCACATTGGGTAAAGCAGGGAGCCACTACTATCACACTGGGTTTAGTCTATGGCAGCAATTACAAAGCTTTACTCAAAAATAAAATTGAGCATTAACCAATCACAGTTAAAATATTGTTGTCATACCAGGTGCTAGTAGAAAACAATAAAACTACTCTTTCTAAAAAGGGCAGTAATAGAACAGCTTCCATGTCCACAACAAAAGGGAAAACACTACACTTGACCTGGATCTCTGTTTTTCCATCATCTCTCACCAAGAGAGGGCAGCATTGACCGAACATCAGGTCCCCCGGCCTCAGAAGGCACCAGCAGCACAGACGCAGCCTTAGGGGAGCGCAGGACCAGCCCCTGCCCCAGGGCGGGTGCTGCTCAACCAGGACACACTTTGACAGCCATTTGTCTGATTAGTTCGGGCATGGGCTTTCTGGGGATGAGGAACCGAACCCAGGAGAAGGCGCAAGAGATCAGCCTCATTTCCCCCTGTGGCTAGGTACTGGGATAATGAGCTGTGTCAGGCACATGGAGGAGGCACTGCAGAGGCAAAACATGTCTCAGTGCCCTTTCCAATTCATTTACCAGCTCACCAATGGCAGGACCAAGGTGTGTGTCTGTGCCACAAGTCTGAGTCCTAAACTAGTACCCCTTGAAGAATAACAGCTTGCTCAGTCACAGCTCAGAACTACGAAGGACCCTGAACATTACACTTTCTCAGAAACTTTTTGGGGTAACAGGTTTATCCTCCTGCACTGGCACAACCAGCAAAGGAAGGCTGCTTCACATTCAGTCATCCTCTTCAGCAAGGGGGAGCCCCAGCAGACACGGGACTACAGCTAACTCCCTGAACAATGCAAACCCATTCCCCAGTTGGCCACCCCATACTTACTTCCAGCTAAACATGCACACCAGACCTGGATCACATGTGTCACCCATGCTGGGAGGGCAAAATGAATATTCAAAACCTGCTAGTACATGTTATATGACAAGTTTACACCCTGCTTTTCCCCGCACTTCCCCCCCTTCTCTCTAACCTCATACACTTGCATCTAATTTCAGGTCAGGTCTTGTCCAGAGCAGGACAAAAAGCACACAGAAGTGACAGAATCCTTTCAACATGTATTTTCATTTGGCTTGCAACACTGATTTAAGTTCCAGTACAGCTTGCCTTCCTTCCACCCCTTATTCAGAATCTTCCTGTACAACTTCTGGCAGTGCACATGGCCAGGCTGCCCAACTGGTCTTATGTGTCCTCCCTGCCCAGACTGGTTCTTCTCTGAAGATGGATGCTGCACCGAGCCCAGAGGGTTCCCTGCAGCCTCCCCTGTATTCAGGCTGTAAATCACAGCAGTTCTCATCCCACAAAGGTTTCCCGCTCTGTTCATATCATCTACAGACTCATGTTGTTCTTTTGAACTCTTGGAGTAATTGCTGTGCTGGTTTAGGCAATACTTCAAATCATACCACTTCAGAAAGAGCTCTTCAAAAAGGGCTCTTCATGAACAGCATTGTTCAGAGCTCACCACCAGCAGCACAATTAGCTAATCTACCAGGCAGAACATAGAGCTCTGCTTACCAACAAGGCAATCAGCACAACCTTTAGATGTGACTCACACCAAAAGCTTACCTGGCTGTTTGGATCTCCAAGTAAGTTACATATATGTGGCACTATCTTACTCAGTGTTAAACTCTGAGCTCCAGATCTGGGAATAAAGAACAAGAGAGCACTGCTGTGAATCACAGACCAGGCTTGAGTACATAATATAGGTTTGCAGGAGGTTCTGACTTACGCATTGAGTGTTGCAATAAGGCAGAGGCAAATCCCTTCTCTTGTCCGGAAATTCTTGTGTTTGAATCCTCCTAGCATCCTGTCCCACACGTACTATGGAAGACAGAAAATTAGGTGAGACAGGAAAGAAAGGAGGTGAGGGAAGACACAGATTCTTTCTTCTAGCAGATATATACCATAACATCTCTGGAGCTTAAATGTAAGTTTTACACCCATCCAAGCAGAACAGGACAAGAAGTTGAAAGACAGTTTTAGATCTGACATTCTTTCCTCTGTGCTGACTTCACAGTAATTCCCCCCTAGTCAAAAAAATACTTTTACTTACTGAAAGCAAGTCACTCACACTGCAAAGGGTTGTCAAGCATACCTGAGGGTTAGCAGCTTGTTCCATGATTTTCAGCAGCAAGGTCTGATCCTGCTCCCTCACTGAGTCCTTAGAGTCTCCCAGCCTATCAAGTAAACTTGGCAGCACTGAGGAAAGAAAAAAAACATGAACATCCACATCCCTCCAAAGAAAACTGTCACAGTGGCACAGCCCCTCTACTCTCTCCCTGGCTGGATGGAGGGACCAGTCTTCCCACCCTTCAGCAGAGCCTGAAACCACCCCAAGAGCCTCCCAAGTGCTCTCCTGGAGAGAAAGCTGCCTTTGTACACAGCAGCCAGAGCAGATCTCAACAAAGCAACGATGACATCCCCCATCACACACACACACACAAGAGCCCTTACCTGTGCCAATTTGGGCCTTGAAGCGATCTTGCAAGCGGGATACTAGTGCAGAAATGATGTCAATCCCCAGGAGAACCACCTGCAAAGCACAGGACAGACGTTGTTTTAGCATGCAGCACTTTGCTCCTGGCCTTGGCCAACATATCTGAGAGGTGAGAGTGCTGGCACATACTCCCCTGGGAGAAGAGCCCCTTCCCATCCATGCCACTGGCACCACTCAGATACCAGCACTGTACAGGGACACACAATTCCTCTTTTCATGGCTTCTGACAGACAAGCCGAGTGGCTTGCAAACAGAAAAGTCCCCGAATCATTGCTCCCTGTGGCATCTACGAGCCAAAATTCACCGCCAAGAACTTGACAAAGCCAACAACTATAATTGCCACTGAATGCTAAATTCATACATATGTGCAACATACACATACCATATGCATAACAATTTCAGTATTTGCTGTAGCCAACATTTCTAGCTAATTGTAATTATTATACTTATTGTAATTATAATTAGAAAATGATGTGCACTAACAGCTGCTTAATTACTGACTTGCAGAAATTAAACATAACACTTTCATGATCCAACTGAAGCCGAGGGAAAGGCACCTTGTGCAAGAGAAGATTCAGGACAGGCTGCAGATCAGAAAACCCACTCTGATTAACACCATTTAATAACTACCAAAAAAAAACAAACCCAAACCACACAACACTGCATACTGAATATACCTTGTCACTTGTATGCTAAATACTTGGCAAGACCCTGTAGACTGTGATAGTTCTGGTATGAGACATCTCTCCATAAGTCTTTAGAGTGAAGCACATAAGTTTGTAATCCACAGACGTGTTACGGACGGCCAAGCTCCTGCGGCAGTGCTACGAGCGCTGCACAGTGCAGCCCCGCTCCCTGAGGACCCTGTACCATCTACATCCATCCGTCCATCTATCTATACATCCACGGCGCGG